ATTGAAAGGTGTTACATGGTGGGGACGTTCTGAACAAAACTGTATTGCAGTAGACATAGTGTGTTGTGCTATTCCTGTAACCCCTGTATTCCAAAAAACAACTTCATTTGCCCAGCGCTTTTTCTTCACGGTTGTCGTTTTTGCGACAGGGTCCCTAACAACAGTGTCATTCTCAGCGAGGTATTAAGGGAGAAGGAGCGAGCGATAGGCAGAGGAGGTGCCTTTGCAGCGCGTGCGCACATGTGGCAGTCTTCTTTGCGGGGATGCACTTTCATTCTTTGTACTGCCTTCAAATACGCCCTTCTCATGAAGGTGGAGGAATGGAGCGACTGAACCTGCAAAGAAAATTTAATATCATGTTTTTATATTTTCATTTTCTGCTGCGCTATACCCTCTTACCTATCTGCACCACGATACCACTGCTGTTACTGACCCCCCCAAGAGTACGACCCCCATGGACCAGCCCGACAGGTACGACCCCCCTGTCGAGGATTTCCTCGACCGATATTCACCCGTGTTGTATAGGCACATCGCATTCAACCGTCACCACGAAGTAAAAAATGAAGTAGAGGCGGCCCACTCCCAAAAAGGATTGACCCAACCGCAAAGCTTATCCTTAAATCCTTTTATCCATGCCATACTTTGTTCACCTGCTTGACACGCTGCCCCCGTAAGTACTGTATGGGTCAAATCGCATCACAGTTGTCACTGACGGATTTCGAATGAAGTGAAGCGTGGCATCCCAGACGAGACTGATCAGCACCGAATGCTTTATGTTCTCTTCTCCTTCCATCTGTGTGTCCATCTTACACCTACATCACGTACAAGAACTTACTGCAGCTGCGAACCTAACGGTGACGTAGCCAATTTCCAGTACCCACCATGTCTCAACTAAAAGCAGCAGTTAACAAAAGCCGAGTTGGATCACACGTAACGGACAAGATGGTTTTTTGCGCGTGTGCCACCATGTGGGGTAGGTTGCCAAACAGGGTAGGAATTTTGTAGACTTGGGCGACCCGTGGGCTTAAAGCGGAGGTAAAGCATGCGTCCATGAATGATCTCTCGAAAAAGTTGACTACAACTTTGTAACCCGCCTTTCTGCTCCAAATCTAGGACGCAAGGGATGGATGAAGCTGTAGGCAGAGTCAACCCTGCGTTGCGCAGTTCTCAACGGCCACGTTGCGCAGTTTCGCCCGATTAGACACGTTCTCTCGCGCGAACATTCACACTCGCATGCTCGAGCCGTCTGTGTCTCCGCCCATACAGCGTGCGTTGAGGATCTCTCAACGTGCCGTTGCGAACTGCGCAACGCAGGGTTGACTCTGGCTGTAGGTGGCTCATTTTAAACAGTGCGAAATAACAAGCCGAATGAGAGGGCTGGGTATTTATAGATGAAGTGGTCTCGGGATGTGTGAACGATAACCGTTCACAAAATGAGAATAAAGATGACAAAGTGTATATGAAATTTGTTGACACTTCGTCAAAATTCCAGCTATTCGGGTCTTGGAAACATATGCTATTCTTATTGCTGATGGTACACACGGGTATATCTGAGTTATACGAAATATTACAAAAAGAACAAGAAATAATCGTGACCCACCATGTGGTGCACGTCGTCCCTTATGTGTTAAGAAAGTTAAAGTCAGCCGTACTGTTGCCCTTTGTATTTTCTAGTTCAGTTCTTTCCACGTTCAGTTCGCTAGAAGTGATATCCAAAAATGTAGCAAAGAGCGTCTACTTTTGTTTTCGGAGTGAAAATGTAGCGCGGAAATGATTTGACATTTTCCCATGAAGAATGCCCCAGAACCATTCTGTGTTGGCGTTTTGCTATAAAATTCGTATCCATCAGATATTATTACCGTACGGCATTCCTTTCAACAATTACACCAACAATCAAACACCAACGTTTAAAAATGAATAATTTCCTTCAAAATGTGTGGTCGTTTCGCTGCGAAATTCGAATCCGTTAACGATTATTATGCATTGACGTTAGAGAATTGCGCGGGTGGGAGAAATCAGCGTATAAAATAAAGTGAGATCGGTAAACCGATTCGTTGAGGTAGCTAATTAATCATGAATTGTGATAAGACGCCTACCCAGAACACAGTACCTTTGGTACATGCGCATCACCTCCGCTGACTTCACAAATGAGACTGGGCCAGCGGCTATAGGACAGAACTGGTGAATAAGGAAAGAACGAAGTCTGAAAGGAGAGGTCACAGTGCCAATGAGGACAAACGGGGAGCGCGCGACTTTCTGTGTTGTCTTGGAAAAGCTTTAGGCTCCATGGCAACTCCACGGAGTAGTATGCTGCTTGTCGGTTGGTTAGCAAATCTCTCCACTTATAATCCTGATTAAATTTGCCTGCTTTCAAAGTTCCTCCATGCGAAGGGTATAGAAATTTCATGTCACTTAGATGGTCCTCCATAGTTACTGGTCAAAGAGTAGCTGTAACAAATGTTAGAAACATGGAAATAGTCAACCAAGCAAACAATTAACAGTATTTGCAATCTGTATAGTTCTAGAAATAGAATCGAGTCGTGACAGACTTTTTCTCTTTAACACGAGCCACACAGGCTATGGAGACAATACTGAGGGATCCACTATGTCGAGGGAGGGGGGGGGGTGCATGCGGTGCAGGATCACTTACTGCGCTGTACACAGGGTGAATAACGGTCGAGGAAATCCTCGACAGGGGGTCGTATTTGCTCCGATGAGAGTTGGGAGGGGGTCGTAATCAAAAGGTTCATCAACGGACACAACGGTGCTGCTGCCACTTATTTGCTGTCATCATTAGTTTCACAAGTGTTGTACTTAGCCTAATGCAAATAACATCTTACAAGTGGTTGTTGGTTTGGTTCGTAGTGATCAGTATGGCATAGGAAGGCAACGCGTCCTGCAAAAGAATCGTAGGGAAAGGGCAGCGAGTATCTACTCTAGAATGATGCACATGCTTCGAGAACTTAGTGGAGGAACAGCATCTTGGTAGAAAGTTCAAAACAGGCAGATTCGCAGCCTTCTTGGCATTATCAGATCCTGCAACCGCAAGCTGTCATTCATCAGAACGGGTTGGAAAGGAAGCGATTTGAATAAAGGAAGTGATCAGACATCACTATGACCACAAAAGTTATTCTAATTAGTTAATACTGGAAATATCTTTTGGTGTGATTAAGCAAGTCGTCACTAGGACAAAACACCTTCCCAATGACTCCGAGTGGGGTCACTGCATGGCGCATACAAGAACGGAGACGGATAATTCATATCTACCCATCGAAGCTGACGGCCACAGAAGTATTTTGAAAGGTGTTTAGAAGAAGTTCCCTACTACGGCAAGGGAGTAATAGAGTTTTCGAGTGGCTTCAAAAATTTTCCTTGACATTTCCTCGACGCAGATTTCTCGCGAACTAGAAAGCGATCGAAACAACTGGAGCACCTATCAGAAAGCGTAAATCTTCTACTTTACAACGCTTTCCTCCGATTTTCAAAGCATTGCCAATGAAGACAGCTACTGTCTTCCAAAGAGTGGGAACTCGCATGTAAATTTCAATTTCCTCGACAATTCCTCGACGTCTCCCACTCTCGAGAATAGGCGTGCTTAGAAAAACGCTCAGCACAATTTAGAAACTAGAAGTCTTGTGCATTCAAAAGCTGCCTTCACTTTCTGAAATGGTTATCAATGAAGAAAGTTATAGTCCTTTGAATAGGGGGTACATTTGACGATTTTTCCAACTAGCGCGCTCTAGGCACAGCGCGCGACGCGATCGCGGGTAGTTAGCGCCGCTATACTGGAGCGCGAGACTGTTCAACTGTGTAGGGGCAGTACCTCCTTCAATGTTCTACTTTCCGGCCAATGTGGCAAAGGTTAAATGTCTTTAAAGGAAAGAAGGAGAACCTAATCTGAGCAGAATTGAATCTAGCATTTGGATCAAGCCGCATTTGCGTGGCAGCGGCGCTGCGTCCCTCTCGCACATCTGAAACTAGCATTTTTTGATATGAAACCGGATGTGCAGAGGACAAAAAGGGGTCGTATCAGAGTTCCATGTTTTGGAGGGGGGTCGTAAAGAGGCGGTTATTTCCTCGACACGATTTTCACCCTGGTGTACAGCAGAATCAATTGTTCCTGCAGAGCGAGGATCCTAGGATCCTTGGAGTTCGTGAACGATTTCTCTTTCGTGCTCACCCACCCGAAGCTTCCCTCCCCTGCGAAAAATGGGTTACTTTAGGCGCAACTGCCGCACACACCCCTTTAGTGAATGAGATCCCACTGAAGGTCTCAGGACATCTGTCAACCGTGAGCCTTGGCGGTTCAGCGTTTTGTAGTGATGTCTGGGAGCTCTCACAAGTGCACACTATCACAGCATCTCCTCTTTCTTTATCTTCTTCAAAAGGCTTAGTCCCAATAAGACACAAAGTGTGTGCTTTTCCAGCTACGCTCTCACCCTTTGGTTGACAGAAGCCTTGTAACCCCCCCTACTGAAGGTCTACTGAATCGGGTGGTAGCTGGACCCATGGAACCTGCCCACCTCCTTTTATATTAACCATGCTCAAAATAGTACTGAGCGCAATCTCCATCGTCAATGCATAATAA